TGGCGTGAAGGCCTGGCTGCAGCGCACACGAGGCCTTTCTCTGCACTGTTTCCCCGCAGATGCCTTTCCTAATTATATCATGGTTCTCAGCACAGAACTGCACACTATCTTACCAAAAAACAAAAAAAGATTAAACCAAGAGCTAAAACAGTATATAAAGTACTTCAGGTTGTGGAGTTCAAACAAAATCATTCCATGTGTTGTCTGTCGTTTTTAAATATGGAGAAAAAAAATTCTGATCTTAACTGGCTTGTCTTTTCTCGTAAGACACCATGAAATGTGAAGTAGCTATCAAAACTTCGTTTTCCCTGCCTTGGCTTGAAAGAACAGAAATTTCTTCACAGTTTAGGAGGCTCGAAGCACCGGCTCTAAGGAAAAGCTCACTCTACCTGGCATCTGTGTCTTATCGTCTACAGCCCCCCGAGTTTCTTGGTTCCTTGCAATCCCTACACGTGCTTCTGTCCTCTCCAGTTTGTGTTCCCTTAGCTATCAAAACATTTAAAACACATTCAGAATCAGATTCGATTTTGGGGGGGAACAATGAGGGAAAGACACAATCCAGCTAATAATGGCTGCATTTAGCAGCAGCATTGTCTGGTGGCCCCAGATAGCTATCATTACCATGGATCACTTAAATTTTTGGTAGCGTAGTGGTTACGAATCGGGCTGCGAACCTTAAGGTCAGCGGTTCGAAACTACCAGCTGCTCCGCAGGGGAAAGATGAGGCGTTCTACTCCCGTAAAGATTTACACCCTCGGAAACCCTGTACAGGGTTGCTATGGGTTGGAACCGACTCGATGGCACTTAACAACAACAACAACAAGGCAGAGGTGTAAAAGTGACACCCAGTAGATCAAATCAAATCTACCCACATGTTCTGTTGTGCCTGAATTAACTAAAAAAAAAAGATATCAACATTATAAAATCAGAATGTTTCATCTAAAAATGCAGATTCTCAGCTTCCTTTGAAAAATAATAACAGAAAATGTGACATGGCCACATCTGGCTGGACCTCCTGCATTTGGGCCTCTAGCTCTTCAGTTTGCTACAGTCCCCACTGTTCCCAACTGTCTCTCTGACACTAAAGAGGAATGAGAGTGTCATTTATGCTCTCGCAGCTGTCTTCCTTACCCACGGCACCTCCTGAAGACATAGTGGTGGCGGTGCAGGTGGTGATGTGCTGTTGGAGTCGGTTCCAACTTATAGCCACCTTGTATAGGATTTCTGAGGCCATAAATCTTTACGGGAGCAGAAAGTCTCATCTTTCTCCCGCGGAACAACTGGTAGTTTCGAACTGCTGACCTTGAGGTTAGCAGCCTAACTCGTAACCACTATGCTACCCGAGCTCCTCCTGAAGAAATACCATCTGCTAAACAAGAACAGCAGTCTCCGCTATCAAGAGAAAATAGTACTAACCTTCACATTGGCACTGCCCACTCACCTCTCCAATAAAGATACAACGAATAATTTCTCTCTCCCTAAGAGGGTCAAATTAAGGAGCTCTGGTAGCATAGTGGTTACGAATCGGGCTGCAAACCTCAGCGTCAGCAGTTCCGCGGGAGAAAGATGAGGCATTCTGCTCCTGTAAAGATTTACAGCCTCGGAAACCCTGGTCAGGGTCGCTATGAGTCGGAACCAACTCCACGGCACATAACAACAAGAGGGTCAAATTAGTGTTGAGGACTACAGAGCTTTCTTTTGGGGACAGAGCGGGTGTAATTTATTCTTCAGGAGGAAATCAGGCACACCTCCCCCCAAAGAAAAAGATGCCCGACTCTGGAAAAATGAAAAACTGAAAATCCTGTCACTGCCCCCACTACCACGTTTTTAGAAGAACCAGTCTTCTTGTTTGTTTGCACTGAATTCAGGGGACCTGAGACTTGATGGAACTGGTTTAAAAAGCCAACAACAAACACTGTGCTAAGCAACAAGACTAAGCTTCTGACATACATGAACTTAACAATCTGACTCACACACTAATTACATTGATGTCATCACTGCTAAAGACAAGTTTTAAAATTTCTGATCTGGGATGATTTTCAGCTATTGCTAATGTGGCAGTCAAGAAAACTCATCTCATGTCATAATTTATGGCCCCATCTTTTGGGACAAAATACTGTTACCTGGCTGGGTTGGCTGCCTAGGTACCTGGGCCTGTATCTTAATGACTTCTGGTTCTTTCTCAAGACTACTTGGCTGCAAGGGCCCAAGACTGCTCCCAGGAGGTCCTCTTGTAACCTGTGCAGTGGAGCAGGACCTGGTGAGGTGGTCTCATCACTGTAGACCACCTTAGTGAGAAAGGCCCAATTTTACCTGGGGTTTTACCCTCCTGACAGGGCTGATTGTGTCAGGTGCAAAATCCTTTCTGCAAGGTATTCGGGCATTCAGATGAACAATCACTCCCTACCTTCCGCTACCTGGACTTAGGTGTGTCTCCTTTCCACTGGGCACCATCTAACACATCCACAGTCCTCTTTTGTTCTCAGGCCCAAGGGTTCTCATTGACATCATCCCCCATATTCTAACGCTCATTTCCCCCGGCGTCTAAAAGTCTGTGATTTGGCAGAACCTTACTCTGAATTCCATTTTATCATTTCCACCGTCAGGGACAATTTGTGAGTCAAACACGCAGCTCTGCTTAAAACAGATGTTTTGCCTTAATCTATAAGGCAGTCATTCCCAGCATGAGATGGGGTAGGTCAAAAAGTGAAACTACTGAGCCAAGTGCAGGAAGCTGGACTTCTAGACTTACTAGGAGTTAGGCATTCACACCATGGTTCTGGTACCTGGTGTGTACGCTAGTCTGAATTTGTGGATCATCAAAAACATTACCCAGAGCCTCAATCCAAAGTAGAAAATCATTTGCCTTTTGGACTAGGTTCAGTCCCTTTTTCCCCTCCATTTTTATTAAGTTCATTTGCTAAGCCCAGTTCTATGCTCCCTCCGCCCTCCATCCTCCTGGGGCCACTTTGTCAAAGACACCTCCTTTCACATGCAAGGCTGAAATATTCATCTTGAAAGCCGCTCCTGATGGCTCCTTTGGGGCCTACAAGATTTCTTGTCCTGGATAGGAAATCCCATTGATTATGCTCCAGAACTTGGACACACCAGTCTCCTTCACAGAATGTACGCCAAGGCTGAGACGGCAGGACAACCTGGTGTGGGTGGAAACTTATGCTCCCGGATTCCACAGCGACAACATAGAAAGTCTCTTTTCCAACAAGATGCTGCATTTTATGGGGGCAGACGATCCCACAATTCCACTTGTCTCTTCCTTGGAGCAGCTGCAGGAAACTCACTGCCAGAGAACATACGTTCTTCTCCTAAGAAGCTGCCAGCTGCCTTTCCAGACTTGGGAGTATGACATTTGCATAAAAAATACACATAAATTTCTTCTTTCCAGCAGGGGTACAACCCTCTTTCCCCACCTGCCGGACAGGTGCTTGGAAGGGACCATCACCCAGCCCCCAACCTCACCCTCCTCCAATGTTTCTCAGATCACCCCCCTACCCCATCCAATGTTGTTTCTTCCTAAAGAAAGGTGGAAAGCGATGGCTCCCATATTGAGTGCTGAGAAAACAGTGCCAAATTCCAACAGTGCCTGTGGAAAAGGTGATGGGGAAAGGCTCACACCCCTAGAGGGCCTGGAAGAGGTCAGAGGAGAGGAATTCCTTAGGAAAGACCAGCACATAGCATGACCCACAAGCTTACATAGCGCACTTGAACAACTGCTCACACTTGGGAAATAGGAATTCTATAGAGAAGTCAATCATAAGAGAGCATGCACTTTTCTTTTCCTTTTTAAAGCAAACACTTTCTTCCTAAGCTCTAAATGCTTATTTTTGGTAAAGATGGAGCACAAGAGACAAATCTCTCATGGAGGATGTACTTCAGAAATACAAAAGTGATCCAGGATTCACTGGGTTGGGGAGGTGACTACTTTAAGATTCGAGAATTTCACCGATTCCAGGTACCATGTCTTCTTCAGACAGTAATTAGAAAGTACCTTCGGCCTTGTGACAGACCCTCCTCCTTTCTACCTTCTTAAAAAAAAAGGTTTGTCATTAGCTAACACCAGTTCAGCAAAATAGCCTGCCACCACCTCTACACACTGCCACACTTCACAGGATTCTGCTCCCAGCATTGCAGTACACAGCTCTGGGCTAGAAGACCAACCAGAGTATGAACTTCAGCCTCCAGTAATATGGTCCAGCTGTGTCCTGGTCTCTTACAAATAAACTTCAGCACACCAACATCAGAGACAGTGAGGCCAACGGAGCTCGGGATCACCTGGCATCCACTGACGCAGATCACATAGGGGTTCTGCAAGACGATCCAAGTGTCCTAGACAGAATGGTCACGAGGGTCAGTCTGGCCAGGCATGTCAGCTGATACAAAGACTTGATTGATAAGAGGAGACTGCATTTCCTTCCACCTCCGTGACCTCTGATTTTGTGCTTCCTGAATTCACATGGCATTGTAAGTTCCACATCAGAAACGACAGGAATGTTACCTGCCATTCATTCCAGACACCGATACACCGATGACAGGCAGTTGGGCTCTTGATTTTCTGTGGCTACAATGACACCACAAATGCTTCTTCCACAAAGCATTTCAAATCAATGATGCCTGAAGCACATAGGCGAAACATGCTGAGACAGATTAAGTCTGAGGACCAGTGCGAATCTTTCCTGTTTCTCTTCGCATCTCCCCGTCCCTGGAACAGGCCCAAATCTGAGGACTGATGTAATGTGGTCAATCAGACGTTTTCACACCTACAGACAAGCCCTCAGAGTTCCACAGGCTTTAGAGAACTGGACGTTTTGTCATGGCATCTGGAGGAGGGTTGCGGGCAAGGAGAGCAAGTACTGGCCAACATTTCACTCAGAATATCCTTGTTCAAGACCTTAGCTCCAAAGTGGCTGTGCAACCACAGAGGGGAACTGGTGAGCCAGGGAGAGGCGGCAGCTAAAGTGGCAATGCTTCGACACTTCCATTCCTTATAAAGGGGCGACCGTGCGGAGTTCATCAGTGTAGCTGTGGCACCCCAGGTCTGCTGTGCATGCCCCAGAGGACAGGAGCTTGGAGGGAAGGGAAGGAGGCTCTTCCTCACCTGAGGAAGAGAGAGAGCAGAGTCACAAGGTCATTGCACGTCCTGAGTCAGGAATGTCCCTAATGCAGCTGAAACCTTGGTTTGCATAAGGAGTCAGGCATCTCCCCGACGCCAATCCTTATCCTGCTCATATCCTTACCCTTCCTCAGGTGCATACATCTGAGGAAGGAAGAGACCTTCCTGAGGGGGGGCAAGGGGTTCCATGTGCCACTCCCATTAACTGTACTCTCTTCATCGAGCCCTCCTTCCTGGGGATCAGTGCAGAGCTATCATGGAGAGACAGTGTGTCCATAATTCCCATGTCCCATAGGATGTGGCTCTAAAGACAGCAAGAGATGGGGTGAAGTAAGCAGGTGCCAGCAAAGAGAAACTCCGCTGCGGTAGAATCCACTGGGACCCAAAGCAGAGTGGAACTGCTCTAAGGGTTTTTAGCTATAATCTTACACACATAGATCTACAGGTTTTCTTGGATGGCACTGTTGGTGGGTTGGCATTGTCAACCTTTAAGTTAGCAACAGTCGAGCAGAAATTATTTGTGCCACCTAGGAACCTTTCCCCAAAAAGATACAAGTTTATCTACAAGCCTTATTCAAAACCCTTGGGCACAACAAGCATTGGTCTTGAGATGTTTTAGGGTTTCAGAAAGGTCATATGATCCACATACTGGACATTACAGAAAACCTCTAATGGGGTCTGGGCAGCTCACCCTAATTTCACATCAATATACAGCTCAAACCTGTTCTGTGCGACCTAGGATAAATCAAAACTATCAGCAGACTCATGCTACTTCACATCAGCGTTTGCTACCAATTAAGTTCACACCGAAGTTAGAAAATCATTTTTACGGACTGTGGATGAAGGCTGTGGCCCAGGTGAGGAGCCAGACCCACTGCCTGTCGGCGCCCTGAGCTCCTTACCCAGGCCTGAGGAGGAAGACATACTCTCTGTCAAAGAAGAGGTTTCTGTTTGGTCTGGTGAGAGGCCTTCCATCAGAGGCAGGGACAGCTCAGACGAGGGCACAGATGAGTCGTAGATGCCCGAGTCCCGAGGCATGTCCGAAGGGCTGGCTGCCTTCACCATGTGTAGCAGGGGCCGCAGGACAGAGCTGCCCTCTGGGGCAGTTCGGGCCTCAGTGTCTTCGTCCAGGCTTAGAGGCTGACTCCCCAAGCGTGAGCTGGACAGTGCAGCTGCCCCGAGCACGGCTGCCTCGGCCTTCAGGCAGTAACTGCTCTCAGTCCCTGGTTTGCACATGACATCATTTAAAACCAAGCCCGAGTCAAACTTCTCCAGCACTGGCTCCCGGGAGCGGAGTGAGGGAGGAAGGAAGGGAATGTACTGCTTCTCAAACCAGTCAGGCTCCTCATCAATAAACTGGTGCATGTTGCAGATGGCGACGTACAGGGACCGGCCCGATTTGCTCCGGAAGTAGTTCCGCCTGCTGATGTGGCCAGAGTAGGGTCCAGGTTCCTGCATGCCGAGGTCTCGGGAGTGCAGGTGGGAGCAGAGCTGGGGGAGGTGGTCCATAAGTTTGTACTTGGTGCTCAGGTCCAGGACACCAGGAACGTCCCCCTCACAGGAGTAATCGAAGTAAACTGCGATGAACTTGCTGAGCGCAGTGGCGCTCTGCTTGGCCTGGCGGAGCTTCTCAGCAATGGTCGTCATGGCCACCAGGAAGAGCTCCCCCTTTCCCGTGCCTCTGCCACCCGCTTTGTGCTTGTAGTTCTTCTTGTCCACAAAGTACTTCATGCCTTTGGAACAGACCACGATGATGAACTGGGACTCATGGATCTTTCGAATGACCCACTCCCGCTGCCCTTCTCGGCAAAGGTTAAAGTCTTCCCACAAGTCCAGAGTCACCTGGAAAGAGAACACAGGGTCTCACCTCACCTACAGAGCATGCTCAGTGAAAACCTGAGAGCAGAGAAAGAAGAACAACAATGTTCCAAGAAGGGCATGCCAACCACCCCTCACCACACTCAGCACTGCTGTGCGGCAGACCCTAAATGTCCAACTGCCTTCTATGGGAGACCACCACACCCAGGCTCAGGGCAGGGCCTGCCATCCTTCATGTGGGGTCATTATCATCCCCACCCTATGAGCGAGACACAGAAGCAGAGCTTATAGAAACTTCTCTAAGCCACACACAACATGTGATGCCCTCAAGGAATTTAGGGTGGGGGGGAGTTCAGAAAATGGAAGAATTGGCGTTAGTGTGTCTGACGGGTGAAGCTGCCCGGTTGGGAGAGGGGCAGATCCAGAAGAGGAAGCCCCCTCTGGGAGGCTCTGAGATGACATGGTGAGTAACCCCTAAGCGGGCTAGAAAGTGGAGTTCAGACTTGAATGACAGAGTCCCCTCCAGTCCCGGGTGACCATGTCTAGACAGTGTACTTCAGAGAGACCATCACTCCATCCACTCACAGCCCCGCCTGTGACATCCACACTGTGGTCCACAGTGTGGTCTGCAGCTGGCAAGCAGGGTGGTAAACCACAGTAACTTGTCACATTTGTAATGACTGGTGTCTCCCTCTGTGGTCTCACAAGGGTCTGTGGTGGCACACCCCTGCAGGCTGCTGGACTGGAGCAGGGTGGGGAGAAACCCAGACACCCATGACCCTGTGATAGGGCCTCACCTTTCACACCACTTCTATCCGATTCTGGTGAAAGCATCGCTTCAGCAATTTAGCAACTATGAGCCAGTAGCCACAGTCTTACAGGAGAAGGGAAGTCTTAAGGATTTTATTCTCTTTCGTTCTAAGATGTTGCAAAAGGGAAGAAAGCACCCAGAATGCACCCATTTGCAGAAGTAAGCCTGGACTGCCTCAGCTTTTCCTTAATTCTTGCTAACACTATGTAAGTTACAGGTTAAATGACAATGGTAGGCTTTTTGTTTTGTTTTATTTTAATGCCCACATCGTTGACACAACAATTCCATTTCCAGGCATCTATTCTTAGAAAATCATGATAAACGGGGTGAAATTTATCAACTGAGATATTTAACATTTTGAGCTAACTCAAATATGGTAAACCAATAGTACAACTTGTGTGGTTATTAAAAGTACAGCTTATAAAGAAATTGTTGAAAATTATTTAGTGAAGAGACTGAAAAATTAATAAATATAAACATTCCCATGAGCCCCTACTGCAAAACCAAATGAATGAGCTTCTTTGATCAATAAATTAAAATAAAATAATATAAAAACTAGATAGAAAGAAAGCCATCAAACACTAACTGTTTGAAAGCATCCTCTATTCTCCAGGTTGGGATTAAAACAAGGCAAGCGTTTACTTGTCAGCCTTTTCTCTAGTTTCCAGTATTTAATTCATAATTGGAAACGTTTTTACCCCTGAGGATAATTACTTACAAAGCAGAGCAAACTGAGCTGTCTGTGGCTTCTGAAGACAATGAGCGCCACAAACTACAGTCTGCCACTGCTAGATCTGCCAGACTCAAGCCTGCTTTCAGGGGAAACCTGGTCAGCCTTGTAATCTTTTTTTAAGACACTAGGGGGCAGCCTCACCACATGAAGAGATTAAAGAGAGGGCAATTTCAAAGCCTGAATAACTTCCAATCATACAATTATTTATACAATTCTTGTGTTTCTGAGAAATAGAATGTGCTTTCCACAAGAGCTTTTTACATTTAGCTCTGAATTAATGCTATGGTGTTAGTTAAGATTTTAATATCTTAACTCAAGAGAATGTTGAATGAAACCAGAGTAGATTGCTTTGAGAACTCAATACATTACGGTTTTGGGGAGAGGTCCCCTTCTGGCCTCCTAGAGAATGTCCTCGTTCTCCCAACACTGATGTCTCCCTTCGCAATGCTTTATACCAGTCAATGGTTAGATGCCCTCAGAGAGCCCTTTAGTCATCATTCCTTCCTTGACCCCAAGATCTACTATATTGGCAGTCCATTTTCCATTCCCTCATAGAAAAACTTCTTCCCCCAAAGCTGTTGAACTCTTTTCCCCTCTCTTGTGTGCACAGCATGCTCACTAGCGGTCACCCTCAGGGAACAGCCGCCATTTGACACCATTCACACCTTCCCATAGCATGCATGGCTGTTTCAGTACCCACAATACCTCCTGCTTTGGTATCAGAGTCATGATATATCAGGAGACAGTGCTGGTACGGGATGGACAGGCTGAAAGAAGAGCGCCGGAGCTGGTCCCCATTTGGAAGCTGCAGCACTACTCCAAGTAAGGTGTCACTGAGGGGTATCCCCCCACCCCACCCCGCCCAAAGGCAGGAAGAAGTGGCAGCTACAGAGGATTAAGAGAATGCACTAGGTTTCCCACCTCACAGCCACAGAAGTCCTGCAGGAAGTAAGCGAAGCACTGGACGACATTCACGTGGTTCTGGCAGTCTTTGCTCGAATAGCAGAGGAAGACCTTTGGTCTCGGCCGGAGCCTCTCTCTGGGGAGTGCTGCGGCATACGCAGAGGACTCTGAGCTCTCTTCATCTAAATGTGAATATATATTTTCTAAATTGGAAGAGAAGATAGGGTTGATGCCCACGAGCAATGCAGTGTCCTGTTCCCTAAGACTCAGGGTGTAATGCTATCTTGAAGACAGTCCCACAATCCCAGCTCCCTAACTCCATTGGTGGGCACAGGCTAGTTGATTTCCCCAGTGGAGCAACAAATGGCCAAAACTTGTGCTTAACTTGAAGTGACCTTCCACAGAACACAAGTGCTGCGGGGACTTTCTTGACCCACAGCTCTTCAAACCACACACACTAAGCAATGGCAGGGCTGACCATTTAAAAAAAAAAAAAAAAAAACTGTTTAAAATTGATGCATGATTTATAACTTGCATAAATCTGTAGTGCATCATTCAATGACAGTGGGTGGTGTGCTGTGGAGTCAATTCTAACTCACAGGGACCCTGCACAGGGTTTCTGAGGCTGGAAATCTTCATGGGAGCAGAAAGCCTCATCTTTCTCCCACAGAACAGTTGGTAGTTTCAAACTGCTGACCATGAGATTAGCAGCCCGACTCGTAACCACTACGCTACCAGAGCTCCTTGCTATGTAAGTATACCTGTGAAACTGCCATGTGCATCAGAGGAAACATTTCAGGCACCCAGAGGCTCTCTCACAACACCTGACTTGTACGAGGGGGTTTTAAAAAGTTTGTGGAAGAAATTCCATTATTTCTGAATCTCACTTTTCCATGAACTTTTTGCAGCCCATTCATACAAGGATTAAACTCTCCCATTATCCTCGGTGTTATTCCTAGTTACCAATGAGCTGACTCAGATTCATGGAGACCCCATATGTGTGCAAAGTAAAACTACACCAGGGGGCTTTCAAGGCTTTCAGGAGATCACCAGGCCTTTCTTCTGAGGTGCCTCTGGGTGGGTTCACACCACAAACCTTTTGGCTAGCAGCGGAAGACTTAACTGTGTGCACCACCACCATTATCACTTTAAACTAGCTGCTGTCAAGTCCATTGTAACTTGTGGCGACCCATGTATGTAAGCACAGAACTGTACTCCAAAGGTTTGCAGTGACTGATTGCTCAGAAGCAAATTGCCAGGCCTTTCTTCCAAGGCACTGGGTGGGTTCAAACCTCCAACCCACAGGCAAGAATGTTAAAAGTCTGCAACATCCAGTGTTTCCTATTCAGACTTCCTTTATGTCCTTTAAGGAGTCTTAGTGGTACAGCAGTTACAGCACTCAGCTGCCAATGGAAAGGTTGGTGATTCAAACCCATCAGGCTGTTGTTTGGGTAAAAGACACAGAAAGCTTGCTGTCAAACAGCTTTGGGAGCTATGGGGCAGCTCTACTCTGTCCTACAGGAGCTTGATGAGTCAGACTAGACTGATGGCAGTGATTTTCTTCTGCTTTGTTTTTCTTTAATGTACTTTTATTATTTAATGCCTTTGTATTATTTTTCATTTTTATTCAATAAAATTTGAGAATTTTACTGAATTTGTATACCGAAATTGGGAAGAGAACTACACATATCTGTCCTTGGCTCCTGAGGTCAAAAGCCAAATAACCGAATTCTAGAGAACAATGTTCTGTCCTTACTCAACAGATGTTGGCTATACAACACTGGGAACTAACCATGGCAGCGTCCTAGACACCTACTTGGGACCCAGGGCATGCCTCAGCCAGCCAAGGAACCAGCACTTGTAGACTCCCTCTCTGTTGGCAAGGACCCCAGTCCTGCCCTGTAGCGGGGACACACCACACAAAGAGATACCTTGTTGCTTCTTGCGACACATCACGGTGAAGAGCGTGGCGAATGCTGATATGACGACCAGCGGCACAGTGATGGCAACAGCTCTGATGGGCCCGGCCCACGGGGAGTGCACTACGAGATTTCAAAGGGAAGCACTTTCCACTTAAGTAGCGGAACAGGTTCAAAGAGAAAGACCTTTTTTTTTTTTTTTTTTCCTTTTAAAACATAAGCCGTATAACAGGTTCCAGGGACTGCTCAACCACCTTTCCCTATGACTGGCTCGGGCACTTATAAAAGGATTCCACTGTTCTTTCTTAAAGGGCTACAGAAAACAATTCCACAGTGAGAGTCTGAGGGAATGGTAAACACCTCTGAGTGAGAATTTGGCCTAAGGAAACCTCCCCTCCGACTATTCTTCAGAGGACAATCGACTATTTATTTAGTCCCAGTCCCTCACCCACTGCAATGCCTTTCATCTTCCAGGCAACAACACCAGGGTGGACCCAAAGACAGACTTGATGGAACATCATTTAAATAGAGAGAGGAGCCCACTTTTGTTTTGCTTAAATCCCCAAGTATAAATGTATGGGACATCTTGATCTATTGTGGGTCACAGCAGAAACTCCAAACAAAGATGAAATCCTTACCTGGCTTTAAGGCATAATGCATCACTTTTCTTGTTGTGTTGGTGTCGTCCACCAGCTGCAACAAAGAGAACACTTTAGCAGGTCTGTTGTTGTTGTTTCCAAATGACAGGACCTCAACCAGTTGTGTGTACCACACAAGTGGAGAGGAAAGAAATAGGGATTTCTTGGAGGGCAGGGGCAGGGAGAATGGGGGCGAGGGGGGAGAGTCATATTGAAGGGTGTTCACTGATGCCGGTAATCACTCATGTATGAGGCTGGGATGAGGAAGTGGACAAGGGCTCAGCTCTGTTCCACCAACTCGCAGCTCTAAAATACACCATGTTTTCTTTCAGGAACAAAAAGGTTGTTTATTCACTGCATAATTCAGCCAATGATTCTCACCTTCTAGAAATTTCCAATGAAAATGGAGTCCTAGCACTGATTTCACAGGAATTGCCCTAACAACAGGAACAAATGATTTGCGATGGGCTGCTCACCAATAGGTTGGCAGTTCGAACCCACCCGGCTACGCCATGGGAAAAAGGGCCTGGGGCTCTGTCTCCGTAAGATCACAGCTAAGAAAACCCTGTGGAGCCACCGTACTCTGTAAGGTCATCATGAATCAGAACCACCTTGACAGCAGTGGGTTTGGGCTTTGGGTTTATTATCACTTTAAGAGGATGTGTCAGTTCAAAACCACAAATACAAGAATGAGATGTTTCTACCAAAATCTTCAGACACATTGACTTCCTTTGAGCAGCGGGATTATTGATAACATTTTAATTACCCTTTCTGTTTTCAATTTGAGTCCTGGTACGGCACTGTGGGTTCATGTGCTGGACTGTAAGGTCAGTATGAACAGCAAGGTTGATGGTTCAAATTCACCAACTGCTCCTTGGAAACCCTATACAGGGTCGCTATGAGTCAGAACGATTTGATGGCACTTAAGAACAGCATCAATACCATTTTCTTTTACTCCTATTTTTGTGATATCTACTTAGATATTGGGAAAGTCATTTAAAATAAAAGGAAAAGAGCGTATCATTTAAAATGCTCTCTGAAATGGTCTTTGGAACACATGTATATTTATAGAGAAGAAGATCAATAGAAACCCTTCAGAAGTATTAGGAGATGTAATAGGTGTGACTTTTGCTGTTTTAACATAAAAACACAACTCTTTTAAAGTGTAAAAAAAAAATCAAAACCCCTTTGTAGTATGAAGGAACATTATATAGTGATTTCAGATCACAGGTACACGAATTATATTGCTACATAAAAATATTTATTTGAAATCTTATTAAAAAAATTAAAGACCAAATTATATATAAGCTATTAAAAGGCACGTGCTTTAAAGAGCCACATAAAAATGTAACTTTCTACATCTTAGTGGCTTGACATTTGAGTGTTGTAAACAGTTGGGATTCTGAACGGAGTATGATCTGTAAAATGAATGAATAGTGGGGCTTTCCTCAGTCATATTTACCTCAATTATATAATCCCCTGGAGAGACATTTTGAAGGAGGCAGCTGGTTATGTCTGTATTTCGTTCCTGCAAAGAAATAAACAACACTGTGAAGACGCACTCTTCATCCCTAGAGCTAAGGATCTGCCACGGCCCTCAGCCACATCTTTCCAAAGATGATGTAACTCATTCCGAAACCAACTGTGATGTGAACTTACCCAAAACCCTAGTCATAGTCTACACTCTGCTGGAGTAACCTTCAGCAGTTAATACTTGATTTGAGGATAAGGAAACTAGTTTTTAAATGCCTTCTTTAATGAAAGGGTGGGGAAAGAAATTATCAGTGTGTACTTGTGTGGGGGACCACAAGGTTGGCAGTTCAAATCCACTAGCTGCTCCTTGGAAACCCCATACAGTGTTGCTATGAATCGAAACAGAATCGATGGCATTTAACAACGACAACATGTGTGTGGGAGAACCCTGGTGGCACTGTGGTTAAGGGCTGGGTTATAAACTGAAAGGCCAGGAGTTGGAACCCACCTGTCACTCCATGGGATAAAGATTTGCAGACATGGAAACCCTATACTCTGTCCTTTAGGGTGGCTATAAATTGCACAGAAACAGATACATGTGTGTGTGTGTGTGAGTGTGCATATTTTATCATAATTTCAACTTAGGCAGAGGTCAATGACAAAAGTGGAAAACAGTGGAAGGGCAAAAAAGATACACTCATGGGTGTGTCTTTGAGGGCACTGGGTTCAGCCACCATAGTCAGAAGCTCTCAGTGTCTGCAGAGGGTGAACTAGCTGACCATGCTGTGAACTTCCACGAAGCATCTCCCCTTTCTTCCTCGCAGTGGCTGGTGGGTTTGAACTGCCAACCTTGTGCTCCCACAGTATCACCAGGGGCTACTTCATTATTTTGGTTCTTTCATAATACTTTTAGCAGGCTCTATGGACTTCTGCTGTGGTCCTGTGGGATAAATATGGGACAGCAAAGTCGGTTTGAACTGCAAGGTTGGCGGTTCAAACTCACCAGTCACTCCTCCGAAACCCTGTACAGGGTTGCTATGAGTTGGAACCAACTCAATGGCACTTAACAGCAATAACACACTAGGTGGCGCTGTGGTTTAGGTGTTAGGCTGCTAACTACAAGGTCAGGGGTCAAACCTACCAGCTACTCTATGGGAAAAAGACAAGTCTACTCCCATAATATTTACGGTTTTGGAAACCCTAAATAAACAGGCCTGTTCTGAGCCGGAAATGACTTGATGATAGTGGATTTGTTTAGAATCTCTACAAGGGTAGTTGGTACTTGATAACTAAAGAATGAGGGATGGCCATACAGCCCTGAGTCATGCCTGATGATAACATCCTGGGATTTCTGCCGACCCTGAGAGGCATCATGCTGAGCCACCCAGGGGCCCAGCAGTTTCTTTTAAAGCACGTGGTACTTCTTGACACACACTCAGAAGCTCACCTGCCTACAAGACTTTCGCTTAAAGGGCCCTTCATGCTTCAGCTTGTAATGAAGGTAGAAGAAGCGGAAACCGAAGTTGTGGGGTGCGTGGTCAAAGGACACCTGGATGTCTGGTCCATGCTGGGTGACGTTCAGGTTCCGAGGCTTCCAGACTGGGAGGAGAAAGGGCTGGGTGAGTACCTGGCAGTGACCCCGGCCCTCTCCCTGAGGTAGCACCCTAAGGCTTGACAGGTATGAACAGCTGTACTCACAGGGTTTGCAGGCCAGGTTGTCTGGCTGCAGCAACAGGTCACAAGCTGTGGGAGGGAAACATATTTCTAGTTTTAGGACAGCTAGAGAGCTTCCTCCTCTAACAATTCTACAAAATAAAAAAATACAATGCTGCCACAAAAGATATATGCAGGTTCATTGTAGCACTATCCACAGTAGCTATAGGCCCATCAATGGACGGAATGGATGAACAAACTACGGTACATATGGAACACAATGGGACACTACCCAACTTTAAAGAATAATGAAGAATCTGCAAAACATCTCACAACATGGATGAAGCTGGAGAACATAATGTTGAATGAAATAAGCCGCTCACGGAAGGATGAATATGGTATAAGGAATAAATACTATTATAAGAAGTCAAGAAAAGGTTTACACACAGGAAAAAATAACATTCTTCAGTGCTTACCAAGAATGTGTAGGAAAGCAGAGAAAAAAAACTAACGAGAGAGTAGACATGTATTAACTTGGGTGACGGAAAAGGCAATATACAATACGAGAAAGTCAACACAACATGACTAAGACAAAGGAAGACACTGGGCAGACAAAAGGCAACAATGGTAAACACTACTACATACACAATCCTGCAGTATCAGTAATAATTAATAATTTACAAGTAGATATCTAAGATGAATACATGCGGTGTGGCGTAAGGAGTACACCCCACAAGAATACAGAAGTGGAGCAGATGATATTTCTATATATGTATTTGGATGTGCTACAAATACATCCAGGTATATCGTAGAGCATGGATTCCTCATATGGCGCTGTGGGATAATGCACTAAACGGAAAGATCAACTTGCATCGCAAGGTCAGTGGTTCAAACTCACCAGCCACTCCTTGGAAACCCTCTACAGGGTCATTATGAGTCAGAACTGATTTCATGGCACTAACAGCAATAACCATAGTAGAACATACAAGGGACAAAGTTATACAAAGTTGTAGCTGTTACCAAACACGGCAATCTCTGCAGACATCTAGGTCATCTGGCATAACAGTCCATAAACACCATGTTCTACATCAGACTTTGGTGAGCAGTCACGGGGGTTACTGAATAGCTTCCAAGTGACTGTCTAAGAAACTATTGGTCTCTTCCCATCCAGAGCAAGGAGAAATGAAGACAATCAAAGACCCAAGGAAACAACTAGTTCAAAAGACTAAGGAGTCACATGAACCCCAGCCTCCACTAGCGTGAGACCAGAAGAACTGGTCTCTGATGGGAATCACAATAGTAGGTCCTAGACAGAGTAGCAGAAAAATGCAGAACAAAATTCAAAATCATAAAAAAAAAAAAAGATCAGAATTACTGGTTTGATAGAGACTGGTAGGACCATGGGACCCCTGAAAGTATGACTCTGACACACTCTTCAAACCTAGAGCTGAACCCACACCCACAGGTTACTTTTCCGCCAAACAAACAGCCCTATGAAGTGCATAATAACACTCACGAGGAATGAACGTATTCCTTAGAACAATCAACTGCCTGAGAACAAAGAGGCAGTATTTGCCCTAAACAAAGCTATGAAGGCAGGACAGGGCAGAGAAGATGGGCAAACAGAAACAGGGAACCCAGGGAGGAAACAGGAAGAGTGCTCTAACACTGATGGTATTTCAACTAATGTCATGAAACCAAATGAGTAAAAAATTGTTGAACTGGAAACTAATGCACTCTGTAAACTTTTACTTTGTTGTTGTTGTTGTTAAGTGCCATCGAGTCAATTCCAACCCATAGCGACCCTGTATAGGGTTTCCAAGGAGAAGCTGGTGAGCTTGAACCACCAACCTTGCAGTTCAAACTGCTTTCCAGTCTGACGCATTAGCCCACAGCACGACAACAAAATGTTCACACACACACACACACACGCACAAAAGCATGTGGATTTGTCTGCCTATAACAGTGAAAAAAGTACTTGTGCTTTGAAAAGGCTGTTTTCAAATTAACACACATTGGAGCTACTCCTACCCCCTCCAAAAAAGACAATGCTGGAAGCTCTGTGGGTTAGCTGTTAAGCTGCTAATCACAGGTCAGGGGTTGAAGCCCATCAGCTACTCAGTGACAGAAAGAAAAGGCTTCTATAAAGATTTAAAATTGCAAAAACCCTACGTACAGTTTGGTTTAGAAATGGTGCGCAGTACAGTGCCGCTGCATTTTAAGAACGTTTAAAATGATACAATATAAGAATATTAACGAAGTCTTACTTTATACCAAAGAACTGGAAACTGCAAGGCTGCCCATGTTTAAAATGACTGTGCTTTGTATAGTTTCACAGCTAGTGGCCAAAGGTGGTGTTAAGTGGCACTGAGGCAGTTCCAACTCATGGCAACCCTGTATAAGGTTTCCAAACCATGGCTGGGGAGCTTAAACAGCCGATCTTGTAGTTCAAATGACCTTGCAGTCCAGCACATTAACCCAGAGCGCCACACATCAGGACTCCAAGGGCTAATGGTGGGTGGCGGGGCTGTATGCATGCTGTTGTCACTGGGAGGCTGTGTTCAGCTGTAAACAGAAATGTAGGCTCCAAACCCATTGTGAAGGGGCCTTAGTGGTGCAGTGGCTAAGCACTTGGCTGCTAACTGAAAGGTTAGTGTATCAAATCCACCAGCCACTCCAAGAGAAAAAGACGTGGCTGTTTGCTTCTGTATCATTAACAGCCCTGGAAACTGTATGGGCCAGTTCTATTTTACCTTATAGGTAAAATATCTTCAGGAGTCAGAAACGACTCAATGGAAACAGGTTTTGGAGACTCCACTGTGGTCTGTGTTTAGTAGGCAACAGAGAATCTTGGAGTGCTTTTGGTACTACTGGGGAGTTATTTTAACCATTACTGGATTCTCACTTAAAATTCTTTTTATGTGGCCTAAAAACAGCATCCAGTGCTGAAAACCAGATGTTAAAGTCAGTAGCTTTCAAATAGGACAGAAATGTGGTAAAACAAAATGAAAGAGAACAAACAACTAATAACATTAGTAATCTGCTGCTAACCTAGGGAGACCTTTGGGGAAATGTCTATATACTTCAAGAAAATCAAAGGCTGAATTAAAGCCACTATACAATGAAATGGTGGCAAAATTCTGTATTTCCCAGAACCCCCAGCCTTGCCCCCAGATAGATATACTAATCCCAATAGAAAAAATTAATCTTAAATTATGCCAGCTTTGATTTGGTGAGGTTTTTAAAAACACATTCTCTGAGTCGTCTTCTTATGTGCAAGACACCAAGACATTGTGAAATGCACATGTTATTATTTTTTTTTTGCCAGAAACAATCATATTATTTTTTTAAATTGTGGTAAATGCATACATAACAAAAAACTTCCCATTCCAATGTTTTTCAACATGCAAAATTCAGTGCCATTAATCACGTTTGTCATGTTGTGCAATCATTACCACTCTCTCTTTTTTTTATATCATCTTTACCAGAAGCTCAGTGGGCCCTAAGCAATGACTCCCCCTCCCTCCCATCCCTGGCAATCACTAGCAAACTTTGGCTTCTAAGCATTTGCCTATTCTAGATATTTCATGCAAGTGGAATCCTACAATGCTTGTCCTTTGGTATCTGACTTATTTTACTCAGCATATTTTCAAGGTTCATTAGTGGCATCGCATGTGACAGAACTTAATTTTTCTTTATAATTGAGTAATATACCCCATTGTGGAATCATATTTGAGTGAAGAAAATTAAGACCAGTTGCTAAAAAAGAAATGATGTTGTATGGGCAGTACCACAGTAAGAATTCAGCAAAGGGAAAGACCACTGTAGGCTGGAGACGAGAACAAAAACATCAATGAGGCAAAGAACACAGGCAGACCAAACAAGAGGGATGTTGGAGGGGACTGATGGCTAGCTAGCAGACTCGGGAACAGCAGACAGAAAAGTGTACAAGGAAGACAAAAGGTGGTTGCAGGTTTCAGGGTAACAGCAGCTGTTTGAAGGTAGTTATTCAGGGAGATCAAACATACAGAACAAGGTGGTGGTGCAATGGTTAAGCATTCCACTTCTAGCAAGAAAGTTGATAGTTCAAACCCTCCCAGTGGCTCCATGGGACAAAGACCTGATGATGTACTCCCATAAAAATGACAGCCTAGAAAACCCGATGGGGCAGCTCTACTCTATAATACAGGGTCCCTAATGGTCAAAACTCAACTCAGTGAAATGTAACAACAACATATACAGATCAGATTGGAAATGTGAGCAAGCAACTAGGGCTCCAACATGGTTTAAGTGTGGATTTAAGAACCAGAGTCTTGAGGTTCAATCAAAGCTCCGGACAAGCCCCTTACCACTCTGTGCATGACTCTACCACTGGCAAATGGGGACAGTAAGATCAGATTCTTTGTAGGATTGTTATGGGTGGGAGGAGGAAGAGTAAGTTGAGTGTTTAGAGTATTTAGAACAGGGACTGGGACAGAGTAGATGCTAAATAAAGAAAATGTTCTAACAAGAGGTGGTTTTGGGGAATATTTGGCTATTTTTTCTTAACTTAATCCTGAAAATAGCAGGCAACCATTTAAAGCCCACCATCTTGATAATGGGTACCAGAAGGAATCATTTCATGATCCTACCCTCTTCTACCACAAAATCGACTCACTCCTATTCTTTAAGCAGTTTTTGGATACATGGGCTAACCTAATGGTGGCTAACAGCAGTCACACACACAAAAACAAAAAACAATCACCTTCAGGGCTGTAACAGTACAAGCCAGGAGTATAGTGCCTCTGTAGATAAATAGCACGTTGGCCAAACCTTAATTCTAAAAACTGCTTTTCTGGATACAAGAAACTCCCCACAACAGGCTTGATTTATAAAAGTCTTTCTTTGGTGTGCTCTTGAACAAATCTTCCTAGAAAAACCATTTTAAGTAGGAGAAAAGTTTCCTCCCAGGAAACAGGTAGCGAATGCCATACTCACCTCGGGTTCTGAAGAAGAAAGGGTGATAATTGCTTTCATTTTTAATGGACGGGAAAGGGACAATCTTTACAAAGTAATCAGTTTCAAATTTCATATTCAGGAAAGGTTGAGATTCCATTCCCTAAAAGGGAACAAAAAAATACATGTGACATCAAGGAGAAATTGCCTATCCTCCACCTACACATGAGACCCCTGCCCCACCCCGAGTCACTCAGACACAATGCCAGTGCTGAGGGACAAGCCCAGCGGAGGGAGGATGTCAGGGCTACAGCCTGGACCAGAATGAGGTTGAGATCCTCAACTTAAAATGAAAATGAAGATCAACACTACTGTATCTGTACTTTGGCAAGGAGGCCATGGCTTATTAATATCAACCCGCAAAATGGGTGGGGAGGGAGCCCACTCCTCGGAAGACAAAGACACCTTGTAGGAGGGTCATGTAACTAGAGAAGTATGTTTACCACAGAGAGGTGCTGAAGAGTTTCCTTAGGGGTGTGGAACAGACAGACGGTGTTACTCACGGTTCTCGCCCACCTTGGCAGGCGTTGTGCACCCCTTAACAGCCCCTCCTTATCCAATTTCAGACTTTCAATAGACCATTCAAACCCCAGCACAATGGCATGTCTTCAGGAGCGCACACCCTGAGCGTAGCTTACCGTTCTTTTGAAGCTGCTGTTGAGCTGCTTCGGGTCCTTTAGAATCAGTTGTTGGCACTGCCTTCCCTCTGACTTCAGTTCCTCCAGTATTATCCGAAATCCTTTTAGGAATTCAATGCCTAAGTGGAGCAGAATGCCTTTATTAAAAATGCACCTACTTACTTTCCTTCCTCAAGATTACTCAGTCTTCTCCACCTACACAGCAAGTTAAAGGCATTCTTGCCCTGGCCGGAACGTCTGAGTTTAAAGAAAGGAAAAATGCATACTCTGCATTCCTTTGGGACTCGCCAGGTGATTTTCTGTTCCACCATCACTAATTAATCTCCAATCCAGCTGGCCATTTCACAAATGTCTGTCTCTATGGCATTAGGGTTCAAATATTTGAGACATGAATCACGATGGGTCATAAAGTCTGGTAAAATATGTGATTTCTAGGTCATTAAACAGGATACATTCAGCGAATGATTCCCAATGTTAACGAAAGAATCCCCTAAATCATGTTTCCATTTAATGTTTTACCCCCACATCTGTTGGCATGTTTCACTGAACAACATAGAAAATTTCCATCCAAGTGTGTGTCTGCATGGGAGGGGGTCCCTAGGTTTGAGATTAGTTTAGGAGAATGCCTGTGGTTTACAAAGCAGAGCTAGCTTTAATCGCCTAAAGGGCAGACACCCAAGAACTGCCCAGTGTGTGCTCTTCACACAGCCCTCAGGGGCCCAATCGCCCACAGTGCTGGTGAAAAGCGAAGGCTCAGACTCCTGCCACCGGAGCTTTCCTGCTGCATGTCCGACTACATGCTTTCAAAAGGATTAAGCTCTGATGGTCACAGAGCCAGTGGCGGGCTCTGTATCCCATGGAGACTGGAGTGGTCCAACTGCAGCTGGAGAACCCCAAAGCCGGCCTCAATTGGCGCCATATCGATTTCACATTCTTTCTAAACACTAGACAGGGGAGTCATGTTCAACCCTTCCCTCTGTTCCAAAGCAAAAGTAATTACACAGGATGCAATTAACCAGGTGGGAAAATTACTGATAGCGAAGGCCGGGGAATTCTTTCCAATCCTGTAATCAGCGTATAGGCCCTGATTGCTCTCATGTGTCCCAATTACAAAGTTCGCTGTGGGGTGGCAGCTAGTCGACTCACAGACAGACTCCGACATGATGACAAGATACAAGGCCTTTGACTAGCAGCCATTTAGGAGATCCCAAAGGAACTTATCTCTTGAGATTAAAAAGAAAGGACTTTTGATCAACTCCTCAGTATTTAGGTTGTTGTTGTTGTTACGTGCCATTCAAACCCCCAGCAGAACAGCGTGTGGTTCAAGTTGGTTCCAACACATAGGGACCCTGTATAAGGTTTCCCAAGAGCAGCTGGTAAGCTTAAGGCGCCAACCTTGCAGTTCAAACTGACTTTGCAGTTCAACGCATTAACCCACAACGCCACACCAGGACTCCTCAATATCTATACCAAAATTTAATTTAAACAGTCCCCAGAAACTACTGTTAAACAAAAGCAAGGTAATCAATACTATCTTTAAAACAAACAAAACAGAGTCAATAAGTTGATTCTGACTCAGAGAGACCTTACAAAATACAGTATAGCCGCTATGAGTCGGGACTGACTTGATGGCACTTAACAACAACAATCTTCATGAATGCACACTATCATCTCTTCTTCCTGAAGAGTGGCTGGTGGGTTTGAATTGCCAACCTTTTGGTTAGCAGTCAACTGCTTAACACCGTTGTTGTTGTTAGGTGCCAGCGAGTTGGTTATGACTCATACCTACCCTGTATAGAGTTTCTGACGAGCAGCTGATGGGTTTGAACTTCTAACGTTGTATTTCCCAGTCTAGTGCTGATTCTATAATGCCACACCAGGTGTGCCACTAGGGCTTCTTTAAAAAGACCATATACCTCAACTTCATCAGCAGGGGTGGTAGTCTTGTTTTTAAATGAACAGCCCGAGAAATCACTACATCAAGTCTGCTCGTTGAGGGAGAAGCAGCAAATGTAATTCCTGTATTATAATGGCACATTTATCCCAATATGCACGCCTTACAGTTATGTTGTTGCTGTTGTTGTTAAGTGCTGTGGAGTCAGTTCCAACCCATAGCGACCCTATAGAGGATTTCCAGGGACCAACTCGTGAGCATGAAACCACCAACCTTGCAGTTCAAACTGACTTTGCAGTCTAATGCATTAACCCACAGTGCCACACCAGGACTCCTACAGTTATATAATGATTAGTAATTTTATACAACAGCTTCCCATGAAGAAACCTGTTTGCTCCCTTCCATCATTAAGTCATTAAATCTGCTTAACCATAGGAGAAGGATATTATTAGTCCCATCTTACAGATGTGGAAATGGAAAACTGAGGTGCTGGACATACCTAGAATGGCTGACACCGGCCTGAATCGGGCTCCAGTTTCTCCTAGGCCCCTGCTTCTGCTTTCAGAGCATATGACCCATGACGCTATTCTTGATCAAGATAACTTATGCTACAACACCCTGAGGTGGCCCATTCAGAACCTTGAAGGGCACAGCGGAACCAGCTCCAGAATGTGGCAAACTGTAGCTTATGTTGAGTATCTCAGTCAACAGAAAACCTTAACCAATGTATTGTAAAAGAGGAGATGAATGCCAACCAATCAAATGAACTCCCAGAACTTCCCAGCTCTGTACACATATAAAAGACCTGTCATTCTCTTCATTCATGTCTTCAGAATGACATTTTAACCTTTCACTTTGAGGTTTCCCAATATACAGATCTTTAAATCTGAATAAAACTCTTTATTTTACAGAAATGCCTTCATTTTTAATAAGATTTAACAGACAAAGGTGGGATTCAAACTCAGGAGTGTCTGGCTCAAAGCCAAATGCTTCTCTGCCTCCCAAAGCAATGGGCAGAGCCTGTCTAGTTACCTACAGATCAGCTTTCAAGAAAAGCACAGCCTTTTACCTTGACTCTTCCACCTGTCAGCTACTGTATCACCAGGTTCACGCCTCTGAATTTCATTCTAAGGAGGTACTATGCATTGAAGAGCGTGTGGCACAGTAGCATAAGCACTGGACTGCTAACTAAAAGGTTGGTGGTACAAACACACCAGATGTTCCTTGGAAACCCTATAAAGGATCGCTGTGAGTCAGAACTAATGTGACAGCTCTTAACAACAACAAAATATAGGAGTACTTGTATGGTGCTGTAGGTCAGCAGTTCAAACCTACCAGGTATTACTTCTTGGAAACCCTACACAGGGCCGCTGTGAGTCAGAACCAACTTGACGGCAGTGGCGCTGTAGGATAAACACTCAACTCTCAAGGCTAGTTTGAACCGCAAGGATGATGGTTCAAACTTACCAGCCGCTCCTCGAAAACGCTATACAGGGTCACTATGAATCAGAACACGTCAACTGTTGTTCAGTGCTGTTGAGTGGGCTCCAACTCACAGAGACTCTATGTACAACAGAATGAAATACTGACTAATCCTACATCATCCTCACAGTTGTTGTTAAGTGCCTGAGTAAACTGCTGCTGCCGCTGTAGCAATCCATCTCATTGGGGGTCTTCCCCTTTTTTGCTGACCTGATATTTTACCTAGTATGATGTCCTCTAGGGATTGGTTCCTCTGAAGTATGAGACACAAAGTCTCATCATCCCGGGATTCTAAGGAGCATTTCTGGCTGTTCTTCCAACACGGATTTGTTTGCTCTTCTGGCAGTCTATGGTACTTTCAGGCACACCTCAGTCCTCAAACTAATGTCTTTCCATGTGCACACTTTAAAGAGATTTTGTGCAGATTTGTCTAATTGCAATGCATCATTTGATTTCTTCATTTGCTGCTTCCATGAGTGTTGATAGTGAATCCAAATGATACAAATGAAACAAAATGAAGTCTTTGACTACTTCAATCTTTTCTCCACTTACTATGAGGTTATTATTGGTCCTGTGCGAGGATTTTTGTTTTCTTTACACTGAAGGCTGTGGTCTTTGATCTTCATTAGTAACTGGTTTAAGTCTACCCTTCACTTTCAGCAAGCAAGGGTGTATCATCTGCATACATTATCATAGTTTGTTAACGAGTCTTCCTCCCATCCTGATTACACACTCTTCTTCATATAATCCAGCATCTTGGATTATTTGTTCAGCATCCAGATTAAGTAAGTATGGTGAAAGAATACAGCCCTGGTGCACACCTCTGCTAATTTTAAACCTTGTTTAAAATTCATTAACCCTTTGATCTGTTCGAATGTTTGCCTATCGGTCTTGTACAGGTTCCTCATGAGCACAATAGTGTTCTGGAACACCCATCCTTTGCAATGTTATCCATAGTTTGTCATAATCCACACAGTTGAAAGTCTTTGCACTGTCAATAAAGTACAGGTAAACATCTTTCCAGTACTCTCTACTTTCAGTCAAGATCCATAGGACATCAGCAATGATGTCCCTAGTAACATGTCCTCTTCCAAACAGCTTGAGGTTTTGGCAGCTCCCTGTCGATGTACTGTTGCAGTTGTTTTTTAATTGTCTTCAACAAAATGTTACTTACTTGCTTGTTATATTAATGATATAATTTGATGATTTCTGCATTCTATTGGGGCACTTCCCTTTGAAATGGGCACAAACATGGATCTCTTCCAATCAGTTGGCCAAGTGGCTGCCTTCCAATTTTCTTGGCATAGACGAGTGAGTGCCTCCTGTGCTGCATCAGTTTGTTGAAGGATTTCAATTTGTATTCTGTCAATTCCTGGAGCCTTGGGTTTTTTGTGGGCTTTTTTGCCAATACCTCAGTGCAGCTTGGACTTCTTCCTTAAGTAGCAGTGGTTCTTGATCATATGCTACTTCTTGAAATAGTTGAACACTGACCATTTCTTTTTGGTACAGTGACTGTGTATTCTTTCCATCTTCTTTTGATGCTTTCTGCATTATTCGGTATTTTGTCCATGGAGTCCTTCGATATGGCAATTCAAGACCTCAATATTTTCTTCAGTTCTTTCAGCTTCAGAAGTGCAGAATGTGTGCTTTCCCTTTTAGTGTTCTAACGCCAGGTCTTTACACATTTCAATAGAATCCTGGAGCTGCCCTTCTAGATTTTCTCTCTTACTTCTTCGTTTCTTCCATTAGTATCTCAATGCTGGACAATAAGTTTCAACGTCTCTTCTAATATCCACTTTAGTCTTTTCTTTCTTTCCTGTTTTTTAAATGACCATTTGCTGTCTTCCTATATGATGTTCTTCATGTCATCCCACAGCTCTTCTGGTTTTTGATCATTAGTGTCTAATGCATCAAATCTGTTCTTGAGATGGTTTCTAAATGGGATATGTTCAAGATCATATTTTGGCTCTTGTGGACTGGTTTTAATTTTCTTCAACTTCAACCTGAATTTCCATAATGAACAATTGATGGTCTGTTCTGGTCTGCCCCTTGCCTTGTTTTGGCTGATGATGTTGAGCTTTTCCAATGTCTCTTCCCACAGATGTAGTCAATTTGGTTCTTGTGTATTACATATGGCGAGATACATATGTATAGTCACCTTTTATGGTGTTTAAAAAAGGTATCTGCAATGAAGACGTCATTGGTCTTGCAAAATTCTATCATGTAATCTCCAGCATCATTTCTATCAACAAATCTCCAGCATCATTTCTATCAACAAGGCCATGTTTTCAAACTACTGACCTTTCCTCTTTATTTCCAACCTTTACATTTCAATCACCAGTAATTATCAATACATCTTGATTGCATGTTTTATCAATTTCAGATTGAAGAAGTTGGTAGAATTCTTCAGTTTCATTATCACTGGCTTAGATGGTTTCATGCGATGACATTTAACAACAAAATCCAAGCAAGTTCTCAGGTGACAAATGAGATCCAGTTCTGCCTGTGTCTAATAATTTGTAGGTGAGTCAGAGCAGGTGCCTACACTCCTTAGCTAGCCTTACTTTACGGCAAAATAAGACTCCAAGCCTTTTCAGTGATTTAAAAGCTTCACATGAAGGAAGTGAAAGTGACAGTGATGAAAAATTTTTCAGTAACAGTTGGCTCAACCATTTCAAAGTGAAGGTAACAACATTAAAGCAAGGCTTAGAAACAGCCTCACTCCACTACAAGATGGCAGCATCCTGTTCAAAGATTGCAGCTGGCCATGCTGCTTTGAATGTGTGTGGCTCTGTGCAGTCCTGCCAATAATCCAATCTCACACAACAAGCTCCTGAAAGGGCTTCCCTATGCCTCTTCCAAGTCTCCCATTACGGGGCTTCGACCCATAATTTTTCCAGTTCAGGTCAGGTCTGTTCCTGTTTTACTTCGTCAGCCATGACATACATAACTGGCTGGAAGCCCTGCATTAAAGGGCCAGCAAGTTTGTCCATGAATCAGAAGGTGGTAACCATACAGGAATCCTAACCCCTATTACTGTGAGGGTAATCCTGTATGGAAGTAAGATTTTCTTTGCGGTGTTAGTGAAGCCATATGAACATAGTGTGTGTCCTAAACCTAATCACTTCTGAATGACATAAAGAATAGAATAGACACAGAGCTAGGCCAGCATACAGAGAGGATAGCAGACGCTATCTAAAGACAACATAGGCAGATGAAGCTATAAGCCCAGGAACTCTGAGGACCACCAACAGCTACTGAAATATGAAGGAGACAAAGGTCCTCCCCCTGGAGCCACACTCTGAATTTGGCTGCTAAGGGATAGGCTGGCAGTTGAACCCACCCAGCGGCTCTGAGGAAGAAAGACCTGGCTAATCAGCTCCCATAAAGATGACAGCCTAGAAAATCCTATGGAGGGCTTCTGCTCTGTCGCTTGGGGTTACTATGAGTCGAAATTGACTGGACAGCGTGTAACAATAGCCTCCTAATCTGTGAACAGATTAATTTTCTTTGTTTTATAGCCACCCACTTGTGGTGTGTATATATGTATTTTTATTTATTTTTTTAAAACAGCAGTACTGGGAAACTTATGAGAAGAGAGGCCATGCCATTTGTTAGGCCAACTTCGTTAACCATTTAGCCTTTTGTGGAATGACCACTTCCCTTGTGTCCAGAGAGAATGGTTTAATCTTTACATGTTAAGATAATATTATCTTTGGAAAACCCACTGTGTTCTGACCCAGCAGTATGTGTGGGGGAAAGTGAGCTGGGTCAAATTCTCCTGGACCCTCCTCCTCCCCCCACACCACTCAGTCCCCTGCAAGCTGGTTTTTCAGAGGTGATGTCCATTCAGGTTAAGAAATTCAGACTTTTTTTTTACTTCTCCCTTGGCCTGCTTTTAAATAAATATTCTAAGGCTGGGTGATCGTGTGAAAAGGGCAAGCCTGAGCATTGGGTTTCTGATGATGACACTAACGGTCACTGCTCTGAAGAGCTCTCAGGGTACTGGGTACTACTCACTCAGGCTGCCACTGGGGTCTAGGTTTCTAACCACTTACCAAGAGCCCCTGGAGACCAAAGAATGGTGATGGCCACTTGGTCGTGGCAAGCATAAGACACAGCTATCATTCCCATTTTACAGACGGGGTAACTGAAGCTCAGAGAGATCAGCTCCATTTTATAAATGGGTAAACAGGGGCTCAGAGAGGCTTAAGTGCCTCTTGAAACAGGAGAGTGTGAGTTCTAACAGAGCCCCTCTGAACCTAGACCCTTCTCATGCTCCAGCTAGACTGACCAATCCTATCCCCTCCTTCCTCCCATCCATTCAATAAAGGGCAGATTCAATCTCAACTTAATCTACACAGATGATGTGAGTTTGCTTTGACCTATTTCTTTGGAGGCCTGGTGTGGTGCTACAGAATAAGCACTGGGCTACTAAGCACAATGTTAGTGGTTCAAACCCACCAGCTGCTCCTCAGAAACCCTATACAGGGTCACTATAAGTTGGAATGAGGCTGAAAGGCACTGACCAACAACAACTTTTTTGCTTTGATACTGTTTGCTTATGATCCACACAGTAAAACTTACAATTGTTGCCAACATTATAATAGGCTGATTTCATGGTTTCACAGGAAAATTGGGATTTTCCTGAAAGATCACAAAACGTGCCAGTGCTGAGTCTGTACTTTGGTGTAGCCACAGAGACCACTATTGCTGGATGTCAAAGCCATTGCACCCTTGGATAACCACAGGCCACTACCAGCCCCCTCCCCACATTACCCAGAGGCCAAGGCCCCAGTACCATGTGTCATGGACATACCATCATTTTATCACACCCAAGTCTCTCTCAATAATAGCCAGGAAACAAAGGAAAAGCCATGGGGCATCAGCATTTAGCTGTGTCTGTTTTGTGCCCAGCAAGTTACCAAGTGTGTCTGCCCAACCCAGGCTACACTCACACAAAGACCTGCCTAGACCCTGGAGGCTTTCGCATTTAAAGCCCTCGCACTGGGTACTACTCACCCAGGCTGCCACTGGGGTCTAGGTTTCTAACCACTTACCAAGAGCCCCTGGAGACCAAAGAATGGTGATGGCCACTTGGTCGTGGCAAGCATATTGACTGATGGTGATGTTCTGGGCGTCAGCAATCACGTGCTTCCCCATTGGGTTCAAGTAAGTGGTGCAGTCTAGAGGGGTGGGAGGATGAGAAAAGTGATGTGTTAAATATATATGTTCATATCCCAAGTTCATATCTTCAAATTACACAATGATGTCTGGAAGTGGCCCAATGCATTCTGCTGAAAGAGGGATGTTTCAAAAACCAAAATAGGATATCAAAGATGCACTGTTTGGAAAACTAATAAGGATACTTCAGTGGGATTGTTATCACACATATGACCCCCAACCTCGGGTTAAATTCGGGAACACTTTTAAGAGGATCATACAGAGTCTGAAATTCACGTGTGTATCTGGTAATAATGTTTTTCTTCTTCTTGTTGTTGTTGTTACATTTTGCCTAAGCCATTAATTATTTCATCTGACTCAGCAGTTTTCAGCAAGACAGTGACTTGTGTCCTCCTCCCCCAAGCTAAGTACCTTCAACGTGAACTAGCATTAAAGCAAAACAAAACAAAAAACAAAGCAACTTTGGTTCTGAAACTTCATGTTATCATTAAACATATCCACAGTACCCACTAAGTCTAAGAAGCCCCATACTGATTAGAAACAAAACACACCTGATTCTTTGATTTTGTCTGAGTACATTACTCACTGCCACCTGTCAAAGTCACCACAGCTACGGGAGCAGCTGTGCCACCTGGTATTGCTATACACACCTTCAAAGTCTGCACAATCTTACAAAGCTGCCAGACACTTGCAGCTGGAATCGGGCTTCAGAGAATAGCCACTTGGGCAGGAAGAAGAACTATCAACCATCATAAGCTGCTTCATCTCTGCTTCCTTCTCAATGATTAAATGTGAATGCTGTCTTTAGTATCTCCTGTGAAGGGTCTTCAGTTTCATCAAATGCCCAGACCCGCCCGCTAGCCCTCGGAAGGGAAAAGCATTCAAGGATATTTCCTAGGAAGCTCAAACAGTCTACTACACTTAGTCTTCCTCTCAATACACAGTACTGCACATTTTCCATTTCAATGACAATACATTCAGTGAAGATATTTGAAAGCCACAAAAGAACAAAGGAAAACGTGTTAAAGTCATTCATAACCTCTCATCATGCAAAGGGTAACTGCTATCAACATTCTAGTGGATACCCTTCCAAGACTTTTAAAGTGCATACAATATTCCTCCTTTTTCATTGATTAAAAAATAATAATAATAAATCGTTGTTGCTGTTGTTGAGAATATACACAGCAAAGCAAACACCAATTCAACAGTTTCTGAATGTACAATTCGGTGGCATGGAATACAATCTCTGAGCTGTGCAGCCATCCTCACCCTTCTTTTCCAAATCATTCCTCGCTGTTAAACAAAAACTCACTGCCTCCAAAGGCTCCCTTAGGTCAGAAAGGAGATCAGGTGGTGTAAATGGTTTGCATTTGTCTTCTGACCTAAAGGGTAGTGGTTCTAAATCTTCCCAGTTCTGTTGTCAATTTGATTCCATATAAATAGTTCTTAAAAGGGCACAATGCTCAAGGCAAACATTTTTGACTACTTAAGCTAAACTATGGTTTGGTTTTAAGAAGACTTCAGGGGATACTTTTAGTTTAAGGTTTAAAGATTATCTCAAGGCAAGAGTTTCAGGGGGTTACCTCCTTTTTAATGTTGTACTAAAGTATAACATACACCCACTCCCATGTGCACCCACCCCTCCCCTCACTTAAAAGCTCCCCTGTCTATCCCGCCTGCTGGCTTGCTTTCTTGCCTAACTAACTACCTTATTTCTTCTGCCACTTCCATCTGCATCCAAAAAAATCTCATATCAGCATTGCTTCTTTTGGAAGGATTTTAATAATAAAACTGAATTCTGCTTATGATGAAAATTCACTCCCAGAGTAATCAAAACATGTGTTCTCTGGTACAGAAGAGAATTTTAAACTAGGGGAAAAAAAATATGGCCTAACCCTCACTTTTCATAAATGAGGGAACTGCAGCTAAGAGAGGGCAGTTAGGTGGCTCAGGACACCACCACGGACTGCTCAGGTTAGGGCCAGCAAACAGCTTCCAACAGCCCACCCAGACCTCTAGGCACTCTGTCACCAGCTCAGTCCTTATGACTAAGAGAAGTTCTTTCTTAATCAGAGGTGTCCAATAGGCAAAAATCTTGGCTGAGACCGGCTTCCCATACAGAAAAAAAAAACAACCAAGATACTTGTTAATTTCAAATAAATAAATAATACAAACTCATTTATTGAAGACTATACTGAGGAAGATGTTGCTACTATTAAGCACTATCAAGTCAGTTCTGACTTACAGTGACCCTATAGAGCAGTCCAGTGCTTATCCTATAGCACATCAGGAATCTGCTGTTGTTGTTACTGCAGTTAAGTATACTTACCAGCACAACAACAATGTGATGGCTGGAACTGCAACTGCCTTAGCAGAACCAGAGCAAATGATTTCAAGGGCCTTATACATCCCTTATACCAGACATTGCCCTCTCCTCTGTACAGGGTTTCCAAAGAGTGGGTGGTGGGTTCGAACTGCCGACCAAGTGGTTACCAGTCCAGTGATTATCTTACAGCATCACACCAAGGCTCCACACTCTATTCCTCAATAAATTATTATTTTAATTGTTTATTTACTTTTGAAATTTACAAGTATGTCAGTATCATGTCTTTCTTGACTATTCTGAAGATGAGGAGTCCTGGTGTGGCGCTGTAGGATAAGGACTGGACTGCGAACCACCAGCCACTCCTCAAAAATCCTATACTCGAAACCGACTGGATGGCACCAAAAACAACAATACTGAGGTCGAAGTCCTGGTAGGGCAGCTCTTCAGAAACCCTATACAGGGTCGCTATGCGTCAGAACTGACTCGATAATACTCAACCACACACTGAGGACAAGAGTCTTGGTGATACAGTGGTTAAAGTGCTCAGTTAATAATCACAAAGTCAGTGGTTCAAACCCACCAGAGAAAAATGTGGTAGTCTGCTTCTGTAAAGATTTACAACACAGGAGAGACTGTCACGGGTCTAGTTTAGTTTTATACTATGGGCTGTTACATAGGATCACTGAGTCAAAACCGACTCACTAGTGCCTAACAACAACATACTGAGGACTGTAATGTAAGGATGGAGTCACTATGGTGCAAACAGTTTGCGTTCATCTACTGACCTAAAGGTTGGAGGTTTGAACCTAGCGGCAACTTGAAAGAAAGGCCAGGCAAGATTATTTCTGTAAGATTACAGCCAAGAAAACTCTATGAAGCAGTTCTACTCAGCAACACACAGGGCTGTCATAAGTCAGAACAGATCCAACAGCAATGGGTTAGAAAATGAAAGAGGCTTTGGCTTTAACCAGGTTCAGGAAAAGATGCCCAAAACAAGAGCAAATCATGATTTTTTACTTTGTTCATTTCTCATGCCAAAATGAGCATTCTCTGGGTTTTTGTAAATACAATTATGCAAATATAAAGTCTACGAATTAGATTGAAACTTACTCAGGCATACCCCCTCAGAGCCTGAAGGAGAAATGTGGAATGCAAAGGAAAAGGAGAGACCTGTGGAATTATTTTGACTTCATAGAAAGACATCACCTTTCTGTACATTAAATGGCAAAGGGACATAAAAATAATCTTGTGTAGTTTAATCATTCTAGTGTAAACTTGGTAATTGGTTCCTAGTTATTTCAAGCAGAACTAGTTACCAGTCAATTGAGCAGGAACTTCCCTGTGGAGGAGAAAAATCTCTTTTTTAATGGAAAACTTTTCATACACAGCCTGGATCCAATTATTAGTTAGGGCTAAAGTTCTGGGTTCTGGTTACAACAACTTTATGCCCAGATGACATTTTGCCAAAATGCAACAGAACTTCAGACGTTTCAGGGGTCAATGTGAACTATGAATTAAATTCCAATTAAATGCTGAAGAAAGTTGTGGCTTTGAGACAGAAATAGGCCAGTGGGCCAAATACTTAGCCCCACGAAGAAAATTCTAAGATTTTTTTCGGCTTTATAGGTATACCTCCTCTTCCACGAAACCTTACATTAAATCAGAGATGCAATTGCTTGTTTACAGCTGACCGGAAAATTCTGAACTCTTGAATGTAATATAAGATCTGCTAGGACCAAGAGCGTGTATTAGAAATTAACTTTCTGATTCAATGAAAGATCCCTTCCACATGTCTTTACTTAGCTGAAACAAGAATCATGGACTTGCAAGTAAATCTATCCTAAGCATCACAGAACTTACACAAGGCAAAAGACATTCACCCATGGCTGATGAGAAGCGTCTGAAGGGCATGTGCAAGTCCTTAGAGCTACACTTAAGATACGGATGCCAGTGTCTACAGGCCAGACTTTGACACGCACATATTTGTACCTCAACACTGTGAGACTGTCTCCAAGGAATTAAAAAACCCTGCTTCCAGTAGGCATCCATTCCACAGGAACACTGATTCGTATCGCCATCCAAGAGATGAACTACACATGTTGTTGTTAAGTACCATCAAGTCAGCGCTGACCACAGCGACCCTGTATAGGGTTTCCAAGGACCAACTGGTAGGTTTGAACCATCAGCCTTCCAGTTAGCAGTTCAGCGCTTACCCTACAGTGCCACACATGTCAAACAAGAGTCAAGTTCCCTCTTGTCAATATTTGTACCTATCAGTTAAGGTTTATATGGCTCACAAAGTCACAGTTCGATGTTATGTACCTTCTTAAAAAATTGAAAGCAGCTGCTTAGAGAGGGTTCTATATACTTAGAAAAAGCTCACCCACACTGCCCTGTATCAAGTAATTCATCCAGAAAACATCACACTTCCTTTAGAGAAGGGGAAAGGTGCTTGTGTATAACTCCAGTTGGAATGATGGCTAATATTAATTGGTGGAAACTCATGGCAACCCCAGGTGGGTGTGTGAAAGTAGAACTGTGCTCCATATCAGCATTGCTTCTTTTGTGGCTGATTTTCCAGAAGTAGATCGCCAGGCCTTTCTTCCAAGGTGCCTCTGGATGAAGCTGAACCTCCAATCTTTAAGCGAGCTGCTAAGCACATTACCAGTCAGGGACTCCTAAGAACAGTGACAGGCATACTGGAGTGCACACCACAGACCAGTCACTGAATGGAGCAGTTACAAGTGTTACTTCATTTGAAACTCACATAATGCCAGGAGGGAGACTTTTTCTTATCTTATATGATGAGAAAATGGAGGCTGAGTGAGAGTTACTTGCTGCAGTATACATGGCAAGTAAGTGGGAAGCGAGGGTTGGGACCCAGGTCTAAAAGATGGCAAACTGGTGACCCCCAGGTCAGGTTGGAATACACATCCACTTGGCCCAATCTAGGTTTGGAAAATGTTTGAAATTACCAACAGTTTAAAAATGTTCACACACAAAAAAGCAAAATTCCTGCTCTTCTTGGAAATTGCAGTATCTGACAGCATACAGGAGAATTAGAAAAGATAATTAAGAGCTTTTCCACAAATGTTTTAGATTACTCCGAGGCTGCAATGGGCTGAAACTGAGAAGCCAATGCTTCCTTAAGACCAGGCATTGGTTCTTCAACTTGCCACAGTCCCCACCATTCCCTAGTGTCCTGCACCTGGGCAGCTTCACTCATCTGTCCCCTTCTGGGCCCTAGGTTCTTCAGGACATGGTCATGTCCTAAGGAAATCAAGTGAGGCCTCCATATACAACTTCTCTGAACTCTACCAATGACACTTGACCAGTTCCAACTCCCAAATACTTAAGTGTTAAGCCACTTGAGACTGCTTTACCAACCTGAGTCGGTTAGGAAAAGTCCTGAACCAGAGGCCCTACTATAGTCCTTGACTAACTGCAATTGGGTTAGCTTTCATATCTGAAAGGGCTCCATTCTTTGGTGGTCAAGCCAGTTACTTACTGTCATATCTGAAGGTGATGTTGTGCAGCCCGCTGTTTCTGCTGGCCGGACCCACTCCCTGTGAGAAAACAAAAGAACATGATGCAGAGTGAAGCTAGTTTGCTTTTCCATCACGAATCCCTAGAGTCAAACCACACATATCATTGCTAAAACCCAGTGCCACGGCAGTCAGAGAGTGATGTCCCGTCCATAGCTCCTTCCATCTGCTCCTTGGCCACCAGCTGCCAGACTCCCTTCTTCCCTAGGGGATCATGAGTGTGCACTTGCCCTAAGACAATGGGCACAGGTTGTTTGGGGGTTAACTAATCATTCACTAACAGTAAAGCTGGGAGGGAGGCCAAGGGCTGCCAGTTGGAGTCCTTCCAGTTGGATCGGCTTTAAGCACTGATTGGTTATAAAATTTGCCTACCAAATGCCCTAGTCAGTCTGAAAGCTCTATTAAGCCACAACAGATAGGCAATTTCTCAAGTCCAAAGAAACAGAGTTCTCATTCCAAGACTGAGAAGGTGTGTGAGAATAAGCTGTTAACGTTTAATGAGAACATTCTTCACTGTTTTTCTACCTATGCTTAGGATCCAGCGGGTGGGTCATAAAAGAAAAAGAAAAAAAAAAAGACTTTAAAAGGTTTAACTCTACCTCTCTTGGAGATATGGCCGCTTGCCATCTGTGCTCTTAATAGCAGGGATAACAACTCCACCAGACTTCCCACTTTAATTACAACATCCACACAGAGCACACTAGATTCCTCCGCCAGCCCCACCAGTTCCTAACCCCCAGTTATTCCGCATGGGAAAGGGCAGCTACAGGTCTACCAACTCCCACTCTGATGCATCTGTTTCTGTAATCATCCATAAGTGTGCTGTTCAACACTATTTTCAGAATTCTCCAAAATATGTTAATTCTGAAATGTTATAATGATGGGAAAATATTCTAACCATGTAGCTAAAGTTTCCACTCAACAAGAAGGGTGTTGGGGGAAATCATATACCGGCAATTGTTCACTGAGACGCAGTGTACAGAACACTCCTGATGGAGCCCGCATCTCAGGCCCTCGCCCACTGCCTCCCTAAGCCGTCCACGCTACTTTTCCTAAGACCAGGCACGTCCACTGAAACTGGACCCCAGCTCATATGTGCAAGGGGCCTCAGGAAAGTGCAGCTGTGCAAGAAAGAGAGAAGCACATACATACAGTGCTCTTAACAAAAATGGGGGAATAAGCAGTAACACGAAACCTACATCAACATGGCATACCAGACCACAATCTACTGGGGCTCCCTCCTACCTAGTTCACCTCCCTTCGGTAGATTTCCTCCATCCATCTATTCTTCCTTCCACACACAAGATTCCACAATTCCTCACTTTGGAAAGTGTTATCACCTTATTATGATTCTAATGGCTTCCTGAACTCTTTAGGGACAAAGTCACAGTTTTTGCAACCATTTGGCTAAGACCAGAGAACAGTACCAGGGAAGAGGCCAAGAAGGAGACAGTCCATCCAATCCCTGCAAAGCCCTATGGCGATACCTAAGACCTGAGCTCAAGACCCCCAAACTATACCCCTCCTGCCGTACAAATCCCCAGGACACCAGCTGGAGAAAGGAATTCCCTTCGTACAGTCTCTAGTATGGACCAGGACACTATTCTAGGTGCAGTGGGCAGTGAACAAAATTGCCCCTGCCCTGGGGCATACAGACAAACCTCAAACCACACCCTGGTTCCCCAAGGACTCCTATTCAGATGGAAAAATAAGTTAAACATGACTGAGGTGAAAGTGCCAGCCATAAACAAGCATCTAATGTATCCTGAGCAAGGTTAAATGAAGGGCACGGATGACAGTACCAGGATCTTACAAGAATAACTGAGCTAGAGTGGAAAGGAAAAGGCAGGACTGTAGGAGGAGAGTAAACAAAATGAAATCTAGAGGCCAATGCTGGCGTTAATCATTCCATCCAATCATTGGTGACCAAGGGGAAGCTCCTTCACTCCAGTGCGTCTTTATAATAAGAAAATGTACTCAACTGTGTGTTGGGGCAGGCCTGAGAAGGACCACACAAAACCATGTAGAAGACGCACATTTGGCAAATGAAATTCCTTCTGTTTAATATTGCACATTCTGAGGTGCCTAGGGATTCTGGTCACCAGTGTGACCTTACTTATGGGATTTTATCAGGTTTTCTTTGCTCCTGTATTTCTCTTGCAACATGGCTTGAACAGGTTTTTGCGGGACACTTGTAATAGGCAATGTATGTATGATGGATAGAAGGTCAAGCCAATGAGGTTGCTGGCCCTTGAGGAGTTAAGACCGTGCACATGAAAACCTGTTGCTGTACAGTACAGTCAGCCCCTGATTCATGGCAACTCCTCATGCACAATGGAATGAAACACTGCCTGGTCTGGCATGCTCCCTGTGATTGGTTGTAGAATGGACTGCTGTAGTCTATAGAGTTTTCATTGGCTTATTTTTTTAAAAGTAGGCCACCAGTCTTGTTTTCTGAGTCTGTCTTAGTCTAGAAACCTGTTCAGCATCGTAGCAACACACAACTTCCAAGAACAGATGGGTGGTGGGTACGCATGAGGGACACTGACTAGGAATCTAAATCAGGAACCTGTTGCTGTTGTTATTGAGAGTTGTCCAGTCAGTTCTAACTCATAGTAACCCTGTACAACAATTGTTGTTGTTGTTTATGAATCTTTGAGCTGGTTCTGACTCATAAAGACCCTATATAGGGTTTTCAAGGAGTGGCTGGTGAGCTTGAACCACCAACCTTGTGGTTCAAACCGACCTTGCAGTCCAGCACATTAACCCATGATGCTACACCAGGACTCCTACAAGAACCTAAATCCCTCCAAATAAGGTCCCTGTGAGATATGTGGAGCCATTCAGAGGGAACCGTGTGAGCTGGCCCCTCGGAGGATGATGAAGCTTGCAAGAAAAATCCCTTCACAACTCAATGAGTACTCCACTTTGATCCAAACGCTGCAGAGCTGGACCACCAGCAATAGACCAGACACAAGCTTGATCTCAAGCATTGGCTGACAAGATGAACTCCTCATATGCAAATCGGCCCTCATCTCTCTGCTGCAAACCCTTTAGTGGCTCTGGTTGTGAACCTCAAGGTCAACAGTTCTAAACTACCGGCTGTTCAGTAGGAGAAGGATGAGGCTTTCTGCTCCCGTAAAGAGTTACAGCCTTGGAAACTCTATACAGGGTCACTGTGCGTTGGAACCAACTCCGTGGCACATAATCACCACCACCACCATCACCCCTAGACCATACCTGACAATGTCCCTACTTTCTCCCAGACACTCCCTCCCAGCCTCCTAAACCTTTCCAGGCACTACAATACAGACAGTCCCCAAGTAAGGAATAGGATCCAGTCTGCATTTAAATCAAACATGTAGGTAAGTCGGAGCAGGTACATATGGTTCTTATTTAGCATCAGTTAGTCAAATGTGTGTCTTATATAGTATATATTTTACCTTTCTATGCACATAAAACATTTAAGCAAGTCCAAATACACCAAAACATCTTAAACATAATATAATACATGATAATGCAGTAATGAAAATAACTACATATTGTACTGTACTGAAGAGAGAAACAATCTGTGTATGCGTGTTATGTGTGTAGGCACACAAGACTGTAAAAAAAAAAAAATAAACAGTTCTTAAACAGTTTCCAAAACCCATTGCTACAAGTTGAGTCAGACTGTGAGCCACTAGATCAGCAGTTCAAACCCACCACCTGCTCCTTGGAAACCCTATACAGGGTCACCATGAGTCAGGATTGATTCAACAGGACTTAACAATAGGACATAGTAGGGTTTCCAAGGAGTGGCTGGTGAGATTGAACCGCCGACCTTGTGGTTCAAAGCGACCTTGCAGTCCAGCACATTAACCCACTGCACCACACCAGCACTCCTACGAGAACTGCTCCTTAGGGTTTCTGAGCTTGTCATCTTTCCGTGAGGAAATTACCATTATCTTTCTCCCACAGAGTAGCTGGTGGGTTTAAACTGATGCCCTTTTGGTAAGCAGCTCCAAGTTCAGTCAAGTTTAGCTGCTGCACACCAGTAGGACTTCTTAAAACAAAAAAGATCATAACTAAAGGTTAGCACTCACTGTTTATCATGTCTTGTGTATCAGAAGGGGCATTCATGAGGAACATTAGGGTAATTTGCTCTGAAACAACTGAACCCCTACTTGCAAAATATTCTTCATCACAAAACATTCTTCATCACTTGCTTTCTGTGCAGCTTTCAAACATGAAAAAGGCTCCAAGTTTTTCTTGCACTGAAGTAAAGGGTAAAAGGCATACTACACTTATATTGATCATCCAACTAAATTATCAATAGCCTTTCTATTTCCATTATTAAACCACTGTGTTATCAGTGATCACTGTAGCTTTCATTGGGGCAGAGCCTTTCTCACAACCCAATATTCTCACTTTAGCCTTTAAACTGTTCAGATCATTGACTGACTGTAGCTTGTGGCCTTTTTTCATAGCCACTAAACCACAAGGTCGGTTTGAACCACAAGGTTGGCTATTCAAACTCACCCGCTGCTCCTCAGAAACCCTTCACAGGGTCAACAACAACAATGGCATTTCACCTCTTTCTGAATGCTTTAGTATTTTCAATCAAGACCCTTTCCCTTTTCTTTGATGCATCACCAGCACTTGCATCAGATTTATGCTTTGGCAGCATGGTTATGAGGGTAAATAAGAGGAGTATTTAAGTCAAATACAAAGTTACACAGTCAACACAGTGTTAACAGTAATGCGATCCTACTTAAAAAGGTAAGCTGTTCTCCTTCCTTGAGCTGGCAAACCCAAACCACTGAAGCCATGCAATTTTGTATGAGTGTCACCAAGCAGTGCTCACTGTTTGTTATTATGAACCTTTGCATTTAACTCAAATCTTTAATACAATAGGTTTTATGTATGATTTGTACTAAGTCATACTTTCTTTCTTTACCCAAGGACTTCCTGTAGTACTCAGCACCTGCACTTTCCACAAAGCCCATCTATTCTCACACATTCTCCAAGAAGCACTTCTT